TCAGGAATAGACAGTCATTGCCTGGCCAGGTGCAATTTTGCAATACTTAAAAGTGCTTAAGACATTCATTTGAAGATGTAATTTACTATTTTTTTAATACCATACATTTTATGGTGAAGCATGCATTATTCTATTTCAGCCTTTAAAGGGAATTTGATGCTTTATTTATTTGCCTCCTGATAATTTAGAGCCAAAGCATCACAATCTTCAATTTTATTTACTTTTTTTGTCAGCTCATTTGTTTCTTAAAAAAAATTCTAAATGTTTTGCAGCTTTTCTCTATTTTGTCTCATCGTGGTGGGATATAGTTTCATGGCTGCTGGCATTTTACCCGTAGATATCAATCATGTATGAACATAGACAGTGACTATGGCAATCTATTTCTTTATATGAAGCATCAAAGATTAATCCATTGCTGCAGCAATTATTCTGGAGCCAGCCCAGCATAATGTCAATGTCAGACATTTTACTTAAGGTCTTACTAGGTCTTGTTGTTCAAATCCTGGATTCATCAACAACAAATAAGAACCATTTATGTGGTGCCCTTCACATAGGGTACCATTTCGATGAGCTAGATTCAGCAAGGTTATGCTGACACTGGTGTGAATTTGATCCCTCTTCTGAGGATAACGGCATTAATGATAGGAAGCTAATGTGAGCAGTAGACATTTGGTCTGTGTTTGTTGTAATGTGTCTGCTATTTCAAAATTGAATTTCAGTCAATCACAACTATTTCCTTCATGCTCAGGTCACAAATATTCCAATTACAATGCAGAGGCTTCTATTCTAAAATATTGTATTGTATTTCTTCCATTTTTTAAAAAAAACTTCCTAACAAAGTCATTATAATCAATACAGCTTTATCAATAAATTATCAACAGTTGGGCTCATTGTCTCAGCTGATAGTTGACTGCAGTACTGGTGGGAAGCACTACATTATCAGAAAATCCGTTCCTTTGATGAGATGTTACAAGACTCCATCTGTCATTTCAGATGGATGTTTCTTTGGTCCTATGGCATGATTCAAAAAGAGAAGGGAGTTACTATTCGTGTCCTCGCCAATCATGGTTGAGATAAAATCAGTAATTTGCTTCATGGCTGTTTGTAAAATATTGTTGTGTGCAAAATGGCTGCTTCATTTGGCTATAAATACACAGTTACTACACAAAATTCTGTGAAACACTTTTCAAGACATTTCACAGACATTTCAAAAATGCACAATAAAGGCACTATATCAAATAGAAGCATTATTACTATTATTATTTACGAGTTTGCGAGTTCTCCAATCAAGGAAAAGTAGAATACAATGGGTTGTCGTCAAGGTACTTTGTTCATGGGAGCACATAATGGAAAGGAATTCTTTCTGAATACATTCTGAAGGAAAAATAAATACTGCTTTATGGAACGCTACAGATTGGAGCTGTTTTTTTCTGTTGCGTTTTGTTAACCAGGCCCTGTGACCTTTTGTGATTAGCGCTGATTAGTTTTTCCGTAAATGGCTAAAATTTGTGTGGTCTGATTGCCTAAGTAGGTTTCACCATGATGATGAAACAGAACTTGATAATCATCTCCTGCTGCTGGACAAGGGAAAATGATTTTAGGTTTTGGCCACTTACAAGACCCTTAATCATCGAGATCAGTGCTCTTTTCTTTTAAATGGTGTTTTGAGAGGATCTGAGGAATAATGGGAACAAAACAAACATGTATTTTTATATTCAAGAGGTTAGAGATTTATGCATTGGGGATTTGCTTGTGTTTAATATTCCAAGAGATTTATATTTAATGTTTCATTATTGGAGATTGGGTTTGGGAATCTGAAGTGCTAAACTGCAATCTGAGTAGGTATTTATCATAACGCTTAATACAAAGTTTGTGTGCGAAGGCTCTGCAGTAAAAGGTGACTCCCTACTGATTAAACATAGTGATATTAAATTGTTGGCTTGAAGCATTTGAATATGTTGCAATAAGGATACATTGACATCAGTATCTTATGCTGGTTTATTATTGTGCATTTCTAAGTGCTCTTAAAAAGACTGCAAGAGTTCACTCCACTACCTGATTCCCTGGGAAATGTATCATCCGTGGTTGTTGTTTATTAGCTAATTTACTGCTGTAAAGATTGCATTAATTGTGACATATTGGGCTGACTTAAACTTATGGATAGAATCTTACTGTTATGTTGTCTGCATGTAGAGAGTATGTGATACCGCTACCTCTTTAATTATTGCAATCAGTATTATCGTGACAAGAGGTAGAATTTGATGGAATCTTATATCCATCTTATAAATCATCGGCAGATTGTTACAGGAAGGGTCTATTGTCAATACTGCTGTGCAATCAATTATTGTGAGGCACAGATGTTTTGATATTCATACAATCAATAGGATGTTCACAGCACAGAAAGAAGCCATTGTCCTATAATGTCTGAGCTGATGCTCACTCCCCATTGGAGCTCCCATCTCTTTTCCTGCACTCTTTAATATTGTCTTTTCCACAAGAGTTTATCCAGTTCCATTTTAAACGCTGTCATGGAATCAGTCATTTGTGAAGAAGAGCTCCTTGCCATCAATCCTCTGGCCTCCCTTTTTTCTTCTGGTGAAAGACCCAAACTATAACCTCTTGTTGATGACTCATCCAGTATTGTCTGAAAGAAACAATGCTAACGTGAACTTGCACGTTGTATAACTCTTTTCAGAAAACAAACCTCAGTCTTTCACCTTCTCCCAGAACCTTCAGAAGCCTAAGTAGCTAGATTACAAGCACCTTTCATTCTGTCAGCTGTCTTGTCATTTGTTGAATGTAAGAAATCTGATCCCAATGGACTGACTACAGTAATTTGTTACCAGATTCACTCTGTGAGAGATTCCCATCTGCTGCCAAAAATGCTGCAAATTCTTGGCAACTCGCAACAGAAAATGTACCCCAGGTCTGAGGTTCATATCATCAGCATTGCAGTGATCTGCCATTATATAAGTAGAAAGATCATCTTTTTTAATAAATATTATGAACATTTTCTGTTACTTTAGAATAACCACAAAATGATGAGAGCTGTTGGACTCAGTTTCATCTGTACAAGAGGTTGTATTAACGGTGCAATGTAATTCATTACAAGGAGCATTTGTACTAATTTCATTCCTTTTTTGCAACGAATGGCAATAAAATACAAAAAAAAAATTCTACCCTATGTAAGGCTTCATAATTAATCTTTCTCATGATGTGAAGATTGTCTTTATACGTCACAGAAACAAATTTTACTTTCTCGCAAGACAAGCAAGGATTACTGCATATGTTTCTGGTTGTTGTGACAGAAGACTTGTTGTGCTTGTCGGCCTCCCCAACTCTTCCCTCCGCAAGTTGCAGATCATCCAGAACTCTGCGCCCGGCCCTCCCTCACCCCTCCCATCAGCGGTCGGGCCTTCAACCTTTGTGCCCCCATCCTATGGAACCATCCCACATTCCCTTCGCCTCACTCCCGCCATTGCCTCCTTCAACGGCATCTCAAAAACACTCCTCTTCGGCCACCCTCCTACCCTCTCTGCCCTCCTACCCTCTCTGCCCTCCTACCCTCTCTGAATCTGACCCCCAGCTCAGTTCCAAATCCCTGACTGTCCAGCACCTTGGGACATTTTCCTGATGTGAAACTTTATAGAAATGTAATTTTATATTGTGTTATAAGAACCAGGCCCTAAAGTCAGTATAGAGGAGAGCAACGAGGCTGATAAGAAACAAGTAGATAAAGCAGGGCTCTTGCCACGAAGAGGTGTCTTAGGGGAACTTTGTAGAAGTATATAGTATGCTACAGAACACAAAGCCAGAATAATACTTTCATATATGCCAAAGCAGCAGAATAAGAGGTTGCAGATTCGAGGTGTGAAGACCAATTTTAGGACACCAGGAAATATTTCTTTACGCAGAGACCAATAAACCTCTGTAACTAAATAGAGTGGAAGAGGCCAGGACACTGGACTCATTTATGAACAAGTTGAGGCTGTGTTGGTAGACTGGAATAATGAAATATGGTCTGAAGGGCACTTTTCATTCGAATCTCTTTTGTGATCTTGTGACTAGTTAATATTCCTGCTGCCAAAGAAGTGACAGTCACTGCCTTGCAATTTATTCAGAGTAAATTGTTTACCGTATTGTGGTTGAAATACTTTAGGGATGATTCTCCAAAGGTCAGTAAACATACGGAGCAGCGGAGGATAGGATATTGTCAACCCCCAAGGCTGGGAAATTATTAAGAAGATCGACCCTTTTGTATTTTCGCATTGTTATGAAAGTAGTGTTATAAGTTATGTTAATAGTATTTTCAGCTAACTATAATGCTTACTGCAAGGTTGCAACAAATAATAATAATAATCCTTGCATTTGATGCAGTGCCTTATCATGTCACGAAGATGTCTCCAAGCACTTCACAACATATAATCTAAAGTGGTGTGACTGTATTTTGTGAGCTAACAAAGTGATAAGACGTTATATCAAATGCAAGGATTATTATTGTTATTATTTGTTACAACCTTGTAGTAAGCATCTCCCAGTCCTGCTTTGTGAAAGTTATCTCAAGTTATTTTTTCACATTACTTGTACTACTTGGAAAGTAATACAAATATTGTCTTAACACGGAGCAGAACAAATGAGTAATATTTATGTGTCAGCACAACACAAATTATCACTATCGAATTGTCATAAGTACTTCATGAAATTGTTTTGTGTGTAGGTGTTGATGTCTGCATGTGTAGAAGAAATACATCTGAAAGGATGTATTGTCACAAGAGTTACAAGTTCATAATACTTAACTACATAGATGTTATCACCTTTGCAGTTATCAGATCAGCAGTCTTATTCAATGCACATTGCATATTGTTTATTTTCAGAGTAGCTGTAATGTGACGGGGCTTAGATACTAGTGAATATTAGGCAGGTTCTACAAACCAATGCAATAATTAGTGTGATGCCTTATATGCTAACATTCACTCTTTTTCTCCCCATGCTGTGCATAGGACTTGATGACTGTCTCCAGCAATATATAAAAAACTTTGAGAGGGAAAAGATCAACGGTGAACAGCTTTTACATATTACACATCAAGAGCTTGAGGAATTAGGTGTGACTCGCATTGGCCACCAAGAACTCATTTTGGAAGCAGTTGATCTGCTTTGTGCATTGGTAAGTTTTATTTCTACCTTGTGCTTTTCTATTCATTGCTGCTTTGCCAGCAGTCTACCCATGTCATGTATCACCAAACAAAAGTACAATGTGTATTCAGGCAAAATGGCTAAACATTCATTTAAATGTATTCAACCGTTACAATGTTTTATGCAATCTATTTCTAGTGGCTATTAATTAGAAAGTGTATTCTCTTCAGCCCAATAAATCAGAACAACCCTGTAGCTTACAATCTACAGATGGCTGAAATGAGAATTTAGTTCCATGAGCACATTATTTACCTGTGTGACTGAATAATAAGCGGGTAATTCAAATATGGGAACATCATCTAGTGTTCATGCAAACACATGCAACAGGTGTCATTTATTCACAGCTTGGGGGTGTGAACCATGGGTTATTTTCTCTTCCCTATTTGAGAACACAAAGGCCAATTGTAGCTCCTCTACTGCGGAGCTGATTGAGATTCTTAATTTAGGAGAGACCAGTGGTTGAACCTTCTCGGTATGTATGGCTCATTCAATGAACATTTTTAGCCATTGATCATGCTTACTTAAATCTTATTAATGTGGTTTTAATAGGAAATATTTAGACAATTTAATAAGCATGATTAAGCCTTCACACGAAACACCAAGGTTAGAAATTCAGCTTCTTCCAATGTGTCATGTTGTGCCTTGCTTTGTCTTTAAGTCTGTGGAGATGACATCATCTCCAGTCCCATGTGTATATTGTCATGCAACGAATGCTTCACGTACATGACTGAAATTCAACATGAAGTGGATACTGCAGTCAATGGATAGCTTCAGTCAATAGACATTCAACCCTTGACATTGCAGTGATTATAATTGCAACTACAGCCCAGCTACTCCAGTGAGCAGAATTGCTGCACTGCAGATTAGAAGGCAGAACAAGATAAGATTAGCACCTGAAGTAATCCCTTTAACCTTAAATTGTGTGAAAATCCAAGAGATAGAAGAATCAAACTTTTTCCCCGCTCTGAATTTTTATCATTATTATTTTTCTCTCCTCTGAAGAGTCTGTCATTCTTCCCTCTACTGCACTATGGTTCCATGGGTGCTACAACTTAAAACTTTAAAACTTTAAAATCATTTGACTTCTATGATTGCTGAATACCCTGGTTTCTCACACTTGGTTACCTCTTGTTTCATATAAGAATGAAAATTACTTGTAGTTTTTAAGAAGTGCAATTTGAATTGGGGAAACAACATAAACACACAATCAGACATTAGTATACAACTGTTGATGGGCGAGCTTCAAGCTGAGCTAAATGACAATTGATAGGGAGACTTTACTCAAGAGTAAATCAGTTGAGGAGAAATGGACATTCGTTAAAAACAAATGCCTTAGTTGTCATTTGGAGGAAGTTTCACCTTGGCCCACTTGAATTTCATAGAGTACACAACTAGCTTGGAATAACTGAAAAAGGCTGAAATGTTTAACCTTGTTTAAGTATTTATTGGTAGAGAGCCTTGACATATATTACCAACAACAATAACTTGCACTTGTATAGTGCCCTCCACACAGGGTAGCATCTCTGAACAGTTAATAGTTGCAGAGCCTGGTTCCAAGCCAGTGGTGGGAGGTGACCGTAAGATCGATCGAAGAGGGAGGTTTTCAGGCGGGACTTGAATTCATTTAAATTTTATCCATTTAAATATAAACCATTAAATGTAAGCATTCACAATCTTATGTTGGGGGTGAGGTACTGATGACTCCTTCCTTTCTGAATCTGATAGCCGAGAAAAAGCCAATACAATATTAAAATCTATATGTCATCCTCTTAAGCACAAAGCAGTCAGTTCTTAAGGTAATTGACAACTGTTTAGGGAGCAGATTTTGCAGTAGATACAGGAATAATGAGATGGCAGCAGATCTACTCATATGGCAATTTATTGCTCTTAAGCTTCAAAACACTGCGTCTTATTCTCAACTCCTTGTGAGAATCAACATGTTTAAATCTCTGAAATATTGAACATTAGATAAATTAGAAAGGTACGTTGTTTTACCACTTTTGTTTAGCATGGCAACCTCTTGTAAGTTGCGCTTGCTTATATGGTGAATGCCCCGTGTAACCCTACAAATTGGCTTCAAGTGGTAAATAAAACACCTTTTCAACATCACTTACAGTTGCCTTTGACATCACTTCCTACACACTGCAAATGCCCTCTATCTACAGGAAGTGCACCTGATGCCCTGTTGGCTTTGAGCTTTCAGCCTCTCTGCCCCACACTCTGGAATTCCATCCCACAGTCCCTCCGCCTCGCTTCCTCCCTCGCATCCTTCAAGGCCGGTCTCAAGACCCTTCTCTTCGACCATGCCTTTGGTCTCCCTCTCACCTCTCTGCCTTCACTCACCCCTACACCACCCCTCCCCTATGCTCGGGCCCTGACAGCTAACTGTTCAGCGCTTTGGGACATCCTCCCGACGTGCAAGGCGCTCTATAAATGTAATTTTGTTGGTGGTGTGTGAGGTCAGCGAAGCATGCTGACTTTTAGTCAGTGTTACAGTTGTGATTCTTCACTATTTTTTGTGGATTTTTTAAAATTGTAGCAACATAACTGTAGTTAATGTTATCTGTATTGAGAGAAGTGAGAACATTCCTGAAAAGGTGGATTGGACTAGTATTGAATACCTCCACTACTGTAAAAAGCTTAGTTTTTCTAAACATATCACATTTGACTTTTTAAATGCTTTAGAAGATTTTGTGTTTGTTTGGCCAAGGTGATCCAGTGGGAAAAACAAAGTAATACTTAGATATGAGACGTGGAATCATAAATGATTCATCCTGCTACTAAAACAACCTTGGTTTCATTGCCATTTATTTGCAGCGCTGAGGTATGAATGCAGCCAGTCCTAATACTATTAAAGAGACAGTCATAAGAGTGGCTCTTCAATGACATTAAAAAGTAACTGGAGAGTGGAGTTCTGTTCATGTGTTTAGTCTAACTCGCCCTAATCACTGGACTGCTGGAAATTGTGCCCAATTGCTTTAGCATTATAAACTAGGCATAAATGCACTGTATTGCCCAGAATCTCAAATAGGATCTACAAGATAAAAAATTAATTCACCAACTAGAAATTCAAGGTGCAAAATTGTCTTTATATTCGGCATCTCCAAAGAAACAGTCTGCTCGCTGTTCTCTAATTGCTCATCTTTCATGTTGCATTTTTGCTTCCAGAAAACCCTTACTGATTATTAATAGATGCCGACAAATCTAATGATTTTTAGTTCTGATCTATTTTGATAGCATTGGTTTTCTTTTCTTTTTACTTTCTGAAGCTCCAGTCTGTAATCCAAACAATGACATCAAATGCAGGGCTATTTAGGTAATTTCTGTGCATTTCCTCCTGATGTGAAAAGCGCAATATCAAATACAAGGAATATTATGATTATTTTAAATCGACAAAACATAAAATGGATTTCGCATGAAGTTGTTGGTGCAACATGGCTGGAGAATGGTTTTCAAGCATATGACCCTATCTTATGAAGAACAAAAGGTGTTCTTAAAGGCAAAGTGGCCTGGAGCATTACTCTGACCTTGTCCACAAGTCCACTCGTAGATGATGAATCTAGTGACAGTGTTTAGCTCCATGATTCCTTACAAGGCACACAAAATCTAAAATAGATTGCCAAGTCACACTTGGCTGCCATACAGAATTTAATACAGCCTCTGATGCTTTTTGTGTATGCTAGAGTCCATACGTATGTGGTTTTGTTGCTGTGATGTGCCTAAATATGGTAGATTTACAGAACTCCTAGAGAAAGGAGTAGCCCATTACAATGTTAGGAAACTTTGCGATGAACTTAATAGCAAACTGAATGTGTTGTGTTGAGAATAAATCAAAACAGTACTCTAATGTGAACCACATTTGCTCAGAAGTATGTTCCACTGAGAGCTATACAAATGAATGAAATATGTGTTCATACAGTTAAAATAATTGATTGTGCTTTGCAGCATCTTGTCTGGAAGATAGAATCTGCTTGATTCATCACTGTTCTGTGTCGTTGTCTCTTATAACCATCGTGAAAGATGCATTGGATTGGAATGAATGCAAGGAAGGGTTTGTGTCGTGATGCAAAGGGCTGAATCAACAACAACAAAATTACATTTGTGGAATCAGTAAAAATATGTTGCATATGTATCATGGGGAAATGGTTGAGTTAACTAAGAGAGACCCCGATCATGGCAAATACCCAGCAGAAAAGTAAAATAAAAGCCCAAGGTTGCACACTGATACATAACATTACCCTCAGATTCTGGATAAACCTGACAGTGTTGCAGCTGTCTTCTTGAATAATGTTAATGAATTCAAGCTGGACTCAGATGGATTTCTTGGGTATTTGTTTCTATACTGGGCACTGGTGCATGTTGGCTTTGCAGCTGTGGGAGCTGAAAACAGCTGTGGCTAAGCAATAGAGTTTGAACAGGGATAAAAAGAGATCACTTGGAAATCCCTCCCTGGCCTTTTTTTGCATGCATGTTCCCTTCCTGATCCAGCATCATTAATCCTGCTAATGAAAAGCATCATCAGAACATATTTTTTTCTCTGAAGCTGTATTGATGTGCATGCATGCTAAAAAGTTAACCAGCTTTGATGCACATTACAGCTGTTTGTGCTCTCTTTTGTGCTCTCTGTTGTAAAGCAATAGCATGAGAATTTTTGTTGTTGTTCCAACCGTTTCAATATCACTTATGATTGGTTTCATTTGCTTTTAACAACGAGGTCAGGTTTGTTCACTGGGACTGCTGTGGCCTTTGTGACAGGGTTATCCCTTTTACTTGCCAATGAAATTCACCCATTGAAAGCACATTCAGCCAGCCAACGAAAAGGTGAAAGATCAATGTGTCCAAGTCAATTTCTGGCATGACGTTTCACTTTTGGAAGAGAACGCAGATTTCATGAGCGAGTGAGTAAACTAGTCGGCAGCCACCAATAATCAGCATTACTCAGAAACTGCAGCTAATCCTCAGTGCACTGAT